AATTATGAATTTTTTTTAATTTTCAATTAAAATAACAAAAAAGAGAATAAATAAAAAAAGAACAACAAAATAATACTTACCTATTTAATTTTTTCATTGAAAAAAGCGGCATTAACACAATAACTTACCTGAAAAAAGGGAAAAAAACGGTAAATTAAGTGATGACAGTGAATACAATTACAATTGTAATGACAAGAATAATTTATATATTATGACAATTTAATATTCTGCGTATCTATGTATGTAGGTATATTAAATTTTGAAAAGTTTTTATAGTAAATAAAGTTCATACATACATACATACATACATACATACATACATAAATAAATATTGATTGAATTTCATGCTCATCAACCATTTTATATAGCAGCTAGTTATATTAGCAGTTATTTTGGACTTTATATGGAGTTCACTAATTGAAATTTCAGAAGTAATACAAACAAGTCACCTTTAAACTGTACATATTTATTAATATAGAATAAATTTCTTTTTGTTTTTATCCTTAACCATTCTCAGAAACGTAGATTTTTCATTATATCCCTTCCAATTATCCCTGTACTTTGTGCTAGTCGCATAGTAATTAGCTCACTTTCGGCTAAGTTCACAATATTGCTTCTAGTTCTCAATGTTGTTCTCCCATAATTCTTCATTCAATTTATTGCTTCTGGCCAGTATATGCCAAAATATTATTGAAACTTTTGTATCCAAAATTTTTTTTATATACTAACCCATGTTTGTATTAACACATTAGTTAAGTATTCTTTACTTTTGTTCCATATGTCAATCGCGTTGACTCCCATCACACTTCGAAACGCATTCCCTGTCTCATAGCTGTTCTGTGCAATATAAGTATGTATTAATTTGTTTATGTACGAAAATGCTGCATTCAATATTTTGAGTTCATTTATTTACTCACTATATATCTTTTGTATGCGTTATTATATTAGGCACGTAATTTGTATGACAACTATTTTGCAAAATATTTATAAAATTGAAATCTAACCGGCGTTATGATTAATTTTATAACCATATACAAATATTATTACATTATATAATTCTTAGGATATTTAAACAATATTGAATTTTTCTTTAAAATTATGCCGTTCACCCAGTGTGCATGATTAAAATATTAACAAGTAAAAACGTTTCAGTCGGTATGAACCGATTGAATTATACCCTGCACCTTTTATTGTTGTATAGCAATTACTCAAACCTGTGAAACCATTCTATAGAAACTTCACGGACATGTCTGACCTACAATTAGACACACGACTGCCAAGTTTCATGAATCTGACTTTATTATTTTGCCGAATATAAAAAATTTGCTTTTGGAGTTGTATGGCAGCTACCCGAACCCGTTGTCCGAATTGGTCCAATAACAATAGGGTTCGTCCTTGGCACAAAAGAAGCAACTTGCGAAAGTTTGGTGTCGATTGCATTATTCGTTTTTGAGTTATCGTGCGATCGGACGGACGGACGGACGGACATGTCTAAATCAACGCAGAATTTTACGCTGAGCAAGAATATATATATATGTCCATACCGCAGATGACTCCTTCAAGTAGTTACAAACTCCATACCAAAGTTAATATACCCTTCACGAAGTGCAGGGTATAAAAAAATTAAGCTGTGTATACGTAATACGCACTTGTTGTACATGACGAATCAATTAACTTGCTTAAAATAATATGAATGTAATAAACTATTTTAATAACATTAATAAATATACATATATATGTACGTACATATATATCAACTATAACATTTAGACATTTAGGCCTTTTGTTTTTTGTACTTTTATTTTTTTTCGGTTTTTTAAGGTCAAATAGTTTATGCATATGTTGCAGACTTGCAATTTTACGCTTACACATCAGAAAAATAATATGATATATTTTCGCAAAAATGTATGAATTATGTTGTTACCTTAATTTAGAAATATCCTAAGTCCACTTTTGAGTAAAACTGGTTTATTAGATTTTATTTATTTATTTTTATTTCATTTATTTATTTATATACTCAATGAATTCAATGACAATATCCAATCAGTAACGTTTTCAGCTGATATGTTATTTTATTAAAGATATTGAACGCTTTGGTATAAATTGTATCCTAGTTGTTAAATATGAATTTAGATGAGATGATTCGAGTTTTCTGAGCGTTTCGTGTATTTTAGCTATGCACATCATTGTTGAGCATTGGTCTTACGTTAGTATTAGACAGTCGCAATATGTGAAATATATTTGCGTCGCTATCTTGGAATCAACCAAGAAATTAATGGCAAGATATTGTTGTCCTGGTGAATAGTACGTGATGCTCTTCTTTATCTATATCTAAACAGATTATTCCGAACAGTTTGAACATTTTCATATTTTTGTTAAAAAAAATTTAGTATTTTAGCATGATTTGTGTTACTAATGTGTAACATAGGCTCTTTCTGAGTTGTTTTTTTTTGCTTTTTAGAACTTTTCCAAAAAATATTGGAAAAAGGTGCTAACTAACTCACTTTCGTCCATCCGTATTTGCGTCTGTTTAAAAACTTCCCCTTTAAATAAAAAGCCGAAATTTTGTATACAAGTATTTTTTTTCTATAGAAACTTCCAAGGGAAAACCATATAATTGGAAAAACAAGTTTAGAGTAAAAAAATGATTTTAAATTTATAAACTTTTTATTACATAATTTCAAAGAAAACCGTATAAGCGAAAAAATAAAAAAAAATCTTTAAATTGCGCTCCTGAAAATAGCAATTAAAATATTGTATTATAAATAATAATGTTAAATAAATAGTGAAAAATATTAGAGGGGAATTTATGCGTTCAAAATTTTAACTACCTCGCAAAAAGAATAGGTAAATAACGTACAAAATAAATTTATGCATACACATACATAGTATATACAGTCAGAAACATACAATTCAACATAAATACAAAAAAAAAATATAATAAAATGTAAAATAAAATTAATTATGATATTTATTCATGATTAAATTTTGATCAACCCATTATTGTCAATTCTATTTACGTTCACATTCAAAAATGTAATTATAGAGGGCGTAGTATTAGTAATCTGTTCTGTAAAATTACATGAATAATGCACATACTTCTCACTTGTGAAATGGCAATGAAATTGTGGGAAGATGTTTGAAGAAAAAAGAAAGGCATTTATTACCAGAATACCTAATTCTAATGTACAATTAATATATAGTATTAATCTTCCAATTTTTTAATCAATCATTGCACATTAAATATAAGTGTTATTATTATTATTATTATTATTACTATTAATATTATTTGGAATTGTAATTAATTTTTTGTTATAATATTTCTATAAAAAAATAAAAAAAAATAATTAAAAACAAAGACCTTGACATGAAAAATCATTTTTGATTCGACTTATTATCAATGTCAAAAAAAAAATAAAAGCTTTAATGCTGCAACTCTGTGCACAAAATGCAACATTGTTTTCGTTTTTTTTTTCCACCGCGTGTTTTCATAACTAACTTTTTATTTTTTGTTTATATTATTTACTAGAGAACAACCAACCCCTTCCATATGTACATAAGTTGTAATTGACTGTAAACAAATAAGTAAAACGACAATCCATATTATTATTGTGCGTGCTCGAATTCCCTTCTCATTTTATGTATGTGTATGCGTACGTATGTAAAATAAATTTTCAGATCGTGATCATTGATTTTAAGTGACTTATAATTCATAAATAGAAAAATATATTTGTGTGCCAGCATGTGCTTAAGCCTATGTATGTATATGTATATTTATATACGTAAAAAGTATAATGAAAATGTAACCTTATAAATTACTATTTTATAAAAAATTTGACAATGATTTTTGTTTTGATTTTTGTGATTCATGTTGTGTATTCATCAGGTTGTTAGAAAACTTCGGATTAAAAAAATAAATTTATTTTCAATTTTTTTATATTGAAAGGTAAAAAATATAAGTGAAATTTTATTTGGACGAGCAGAAATAATATTTGATTATATTTTTCACTATTTAAAAATTTCTTCTGAGAAAACTCACTTCACATTTTATCAGTTTGAATAAAATATAGATTGTCCCCCTAGGGGCAACCATTTTTAAAGATATGCCATCAATATATTAAATGTTTTCGAATTTATTACAAGTTAAAATTTTGTTGAGGCCTAGAATATAAAACTTTTGAAATATTCATCCATACTTACAGTATCCATACCATATACATACATATATAAGGTTTCAAATATTTTCAGGAATGAGTCTTTGGTCAATTTCGGGCAATAAATTATTTAGACAAAACAAGGGCTGGGAGAGAAAGAGGAGATAGAATATGTGAATATGATGAGTGAATATGACAATTTTCCTATGAGCTCCAAACTTTTCTTCCATATACAAACAAATACACTAAGTCCTCGAGATACGACATTTTTGGTTCCAGAAATTTATGTCTTAAATTTTTAATGTCGTATCAGGAACAATGTCGCAAACCGAATAAAAATGGTCCAAATTTATATTATGTCGTAACTCAAAATGTATTAGGAGATGTCGTACCTCGAGTACTTAGTGTATTAATGATCTCGGAAGTCGTTCAAAATTTTTTAACACAAATGGGCTAGATTCACTTTTTTCACCAAAAATAAAGAGAATTTAATCACTGAACTAGAATCACTCTTACAATTAAATTCAACTGTTCCTTATTTTAATACCAACAGATTATTGCATATACATAAAACTTTAATATGTACATATGTATGTGGATAAGTAGAATCAACAATATGATCTTAAACACAATAACGAATTGTAATTGAAAATACTTTATTCTTTTACATTTTAACCTACTTTTCATGTACATTTTTAAAACAAAAAATTTTTTAAAATTATTGTAAAACTGCAACTAAAAATTTAATTAAAATTTTTTCACCCACATTTTTTTTATTAGGAATTTCGTAAAATAATAGAAACAAAAAGTTTGAATTATTATTTTTTTTATTTAACATAAATATAGGCTGAAGACACTCTTGAAGATATTATAACATTTGAATCGTCTGATTTAGCAGAATCATTAAAATTGGATACAAGTTTTTCTAGTAATGACGTCTCAATTAAAGAAGAACCTCGGATACTAACCGATGCTGAAATGCATGCAATGGCAAAAGATCGACAAAAAAAAGATAATCATAATATGAGTAAGTATAAAAATATATATATGCTAAAACTCCGCTTTGCGACATTTTATATAGTGTTAGAAAAAAATTTTGATTAGTTTTATATTGCGACTTGATAAACTAAACACGCTAAAGGCAATTATAAAAAGAGAAATCCCATATTATGATTTTCTTTAACAAGAAATTTACATTTTGTTGTCAATTTGATAAAAGTTCTTGAAACCAAACCTGTTTTAAAAGCTTTTGTAGGTATCGAAAAATAAAACAAATCTTTTCATATTAATAAATAAATTAATAAAAAATTCAAAAATGCTTTGATTAAGAACTGGAGCGTATCTTTAATATTTCAGTGCAATTCCATTCAAAAAATTTTTCGAATTGCGACATTTTGATTGCAGTGAATTTGTCGGGAACCAATTATCATCGCAAAGCGAAGTATTGGTGTAATTATTTTTACCATAAAAATTATTTTACAACCCATAACTGTAAGAAATTCTGTTAAATAAAAAATTAGAACAATTTTTAAACCGTCCTGTTTTGAGAGTTTTGACTTCTAAAAGAATTGAATTATGAATTCCACTAAATTTTGATCCGTTAAACTGTGTTTTTCATATTTTTATAGTTGAACGACGTAGACGATTCAATATAAATGACAGAATTAAAGAACTAGGAACTTTATTACCTAAAACCAATGACCCATATTATGAAGTTGTACGTGACGTGCGTCCAAATAAAGGAACAATATTAAAATCATCAGTTGATTATATAAAATGTTTAAAACACGAAGTAAATAGATTAAAACAGAATGATTATCGTCGCAAAGAAATTGAGCATCAAAATAGGCGTTTATTGATGAGAATCCAGGTATATTTTTGTATTCAAATTGTATTTTGTATATTTTTTATAAAATCAAAACTTATAGTTTGAGTGACATCGGAATCACAATCATACCGTGACTTTATAATTGCAGCAATGCATACACAATTCAGCAATTACAAAAAATCATAAACTGAATTGTTTAATAAATAGATACTATATTTCTGCAATTATAAGTTAGGGGTAACTTAACAAAAATTATTAAAAATTTTTTTTGTTTTCCATTTCTTTAACATTATAGGAATTGGAAATGCAAGTTAAATCTCATGGATTACCACTTACAGAATTTAGTATAAATTCATATTCGCCAACGGCATCTATATCAAATGCATATATAAAATCCGTAAGTCCAAATTTGACTTCAAGTCAACAAAATAATAAATTAAATACTATGAATCAAGATCAACGAAATCATCATCATAATCACCGAATGCCTACAAATATGTCAGAAGTAATAGCCTCAAAAGTGAGTTATTTAAATCTAAAAAAAAAAAATTTTAATTGGCTAAATTTTGATAAATTTTTGTTTTTTAATATATGAATGAGAATAAATAGAGTGGACTCTCTCAATTCTACCAGTGATAACCAAGTGTGAAAATGTCCCTATGCACTTATATACCAATTCGATTATAAATATAACACTTTATATAAACTTGCTACTTGACGACGATTTTTTGATGTACATTCTCGTATTGATGTGCATAAAAATACAGTATTGTTTCTCATTCCTTATAGTAATTTATAAAATACAAATGGTTGCATACCCACTATATACAGATCAATAAATGATCAATGTACATGAAAATGGACTTTAATTATCTTATTATTACCTCAGCCTATATAACTCTTTCCTTTTTAAAAGTTCTCCCGCTTTAGTTTGAAATTTTTTGTTCGTTCAAAAAGCCCAGAAAATATTTTTATCAATTTTCAAACATTTTCATTTTATGAACATATTATATAAAAAAATTAATTTATTTATTTCTATCTTATTTTTTTGTTTTTATTTTATTTCAAAAATATCATATAGATTATCGAGCCAATAAACGACGCGACCAAATTAAATTTATGTCAAATGGAAGATTTAATGGAAGATGATCACCCAGTACATGGTGGTGATCCAATGCTATCACATAATATATTATCATCACCACATTCCTCGTCTGCTTCAATAACATTAGATGATTTAGATAGAATAACACCAAATGATTTAAATATGGACGAACATGATTTACAAAATAATTTAAATAACAATGAAGACAATAATAACAATAATAATAATAATGATCAACATCAAGCGCAACGTCATAATTATGATTATTATAGTATATGTAAAAATACAAATATTGATAATCATTTAATAAATAATAATTTAAATAATTGTGATGATATTAATTGTAATAACAAGAATAATATCAATAAAAATAATATTAATAATGATAATGATTGTTGCAATAATAATAATAATTATAATGATAATATTGTTGAAAATGGTAAAAACAGTGATAGTAAAACTGTTAATAATGCTAATCATAATCAGTATGTGAATGATGATAACTATTTTAATAATAATTTTAGATTTAAATGTTGTAATAATAAAAATCATTATAATAATTGTAATAATATTATAAACAATAATTGTAATTGTAAAAAAAATAGTGTTAATATTAATTGTAATAACAAAACTAATAATAATAAAAATAATATTAATGATAATATTAAAAGTCATATTGATAATAATAGTAATACATCAATTTTATATTCTGATAACGATGATGATCTTGATGATGGTAATAATAATAATAATAACATTAATAGCAAAAAAAATGGCACAACAGATCTTAATTTACATAATTTATCGAAACAACAACAGCATCATCAAAATCATAATAATTATCATCACAATAATCATTATGAAAATAAAAATAATGATAATAATATATTAAACTTAAATCATATAAAATCAAAATCACCTACATTATCATTAACAACGTCATCATCATTATCATCATCACAGTTATCTTCATCGTCTCCATCATCGTCATCATCATCATCATCATCATCATCATCTTTATCAATATCACCGTCGTCCTCATTGTTATCATTAAAAGGACATTTAGGTGATCCATTATTATCATCATCAAATCATCATCATCATCATCATCATCTCAATCTTAATCAACAAAATAATCACCATCATCATCATCATCATACAGTTGATCTCAGTGGTTGTATTGATGATACAGTATTATCACCAACACATAATGTTTTATCATCATCACATACATCACATATTGATTCATTTTTGTCGTCACCAGACACTGATTCATTGGTTAGTGATATTGATATGGTTGCTTAATCGTTTTTATTACATTATTGTATTATTATTTTTGCACATCATATTTAAAAATTTTGATTATTTCTTATAATTATAAAAGACGTATCGTGCTAACGGGACATCATACATTTTATATCCCGTGATATAATGCCTTCATGTAGACTCAATTGTTAAATAAAATAAATTGAAAACAAGTTTACATTTCTGGCCTACATTTTTACTCTATCCATCCATCTTTTTCTTTTCTAATAATAAAAGCAAAAATAAAAAAAAAGCATGAGACTGATGCGATACTTTTTCACATTCAAATTTTTGAATAACAGCCATTGTATTGAGAAAAGAATTTCTTAAAATAATCATTTAATTATTTTCGGTTCAACTGTTTTTATTGTTATTTCTATCAAAATTCATTTTATGTGAGCGTCTTCCAAAATACAAAAGTATCGCTTCAGTTATATTTTAACGGCCAATAATGCATTTCCTATATACACATATAGATAAATACAATCACATAAGATATAAAAAGTACATATGCATATGTACGACTATTGTCATAAGAAAAGAAAAACATTAAATTTTAGTATTAAAAATGTGTTTTTTCTTCTTACTTGTTTTAAATATACAAATTAAATAAAATTGTTATTCTACATCCCTTTTTTGTTTTTGTGAGTAAGTTGTTTTATTATTACATTTTTAATTGAGGAGAGTACAAATGATTGTTTTGATATTATAAATGTTTGTTATATAATATAAAAAAATTTACAAAACATGTCTGTGCATGAGATGCTATATTACAATATTGATGTAGCTTGTCAACTTCAGAACTATAAAGAAACAAAAAAGAATTCAGTATAGAGCACATCACTTAATTTTTTTTTTAATTTCGAATTACTGTTCTCTCCTACCTCCGCATTAAAATTTTTCATAAATAAATATTTTAAGTACATTTATGATGACAAGCAAAGGAAATCAATGAAAAAAATCTTTTAAATTTCAAATTCGCATCGCAGCACGATTTCTACTCCGATTTATATTTCCTTGTGGGTTTCGATGTCAATTCTACAGTCCAGTTGAAAATTATATATGTACTTATATATAAACTTAAAACAATATTTATCTATGAAAAAATCTGACATTTTAGAATTGGAAAATATGTCGTTAAAAAACTCTCTGTTTTATTCTATTCATTATTTATCATTTTTATCTTAATTTAATTATAATATTATTTATAAATATATATATATGATTCTTACCATTAATATTTGGGACAAGCATATTTAAAAAAATATTCTTATTTTGTTTCACTGTAACGATACATTTACGAGCAATTTACAATTAGCTAAACTGAAGTACCAACTTTTAAATAACAAGTGATGTACCAATTATTTATGGTCAATATTTTTAACTGCTTATAAGGTTGTCATAGTTGTTATAATGTACATATTTTTTTTTTGTTTTACTTTTAACTAATTTTTTAATTGAAATATTTTGAAACTAATAAAATAAGTTTTCAAAAAATTAGTACAGTAAATAGTAAATTGTTCGAAAATGTATCATTATATTGAAATAAAATGGGAATACTGTTTTAAATGTACCTGCCACAATTAATAATGGGTAGAACTTGTATATATACATATATATACATATATGTACATATAATTTTTGTTTCATAAGAATAATACCTATGTGCGTCTACTTAAATGTAGATCTAAAGTCAAGTTGACTTATTCAATTATTAAAACAGTATTTGCTGAATAAATCAAGTTTTAGATATGCATTTCGGTTGATTCCCCATATATATATATATATACTTATATAATTCTCTCCAAAGAAAAAAATTATTGCTTTTTTTATGAGAAGAAAAAAAAACAGAAACTATAAATATAGTCAACTTAATCCAAAAAAAAAAAAACATTAAAAATAAACTTTACTGTTTAAATTATAAATTAAACCTAATTAAAATTTAAGTAATTAAAAATTTTCAAATAAAATAAGTATTTTATTGATATACGAACGTTGTTATGTAGTTTGTAAAAAAAAAAAAACAAAAAAAACATATAAAAATAATTAGTGAAAACAATGATTATTATTATATGAGAAGCTTGTATCATTAACATTACGATCATATAAGATCGTAATTAATTATAAAAGTAAAATATTTTAGAAACATATGCTAATAATCAGGTCTATTTTCAAATCTATATAGTTCCATGTCACAAAGTGATAAATGTATGCACTTCTCGCAATTTGCAAATAACAGTATACTATATTATTCAATTTAATAATTATATATCTAACTCATAAGCTGCTGAATAGTGTATAATAATAGTTAATTGCCGTTATTCTTGGAATTCGCATTCTTCTCTAGAATAAAAAAAAAACTCCTTTTCTGTTAATTCAAATATACTCTAATCACAAATATTGTCTTACTCACATATATATCTATTCTACTCTAACACGCTTTTATATGCTTCTTCTTCTATCAAACGCTTTTTTTTCTCAAATTTATGCAATTAAATAATTATAATATTAAATTGTAAACATATATAAATCTGTATATAATTCAATTAATTGTAATTGCTGAATTTTGTATTACTGTTGTGTAATCCGCTGAAATCTAGTATACTGTAATCTGATTTTATGAATTCATGATATGATTAAATTATTTTAAATTCAAAATGAATTTTTCAACTTTATAAAATACTTAATATAATTAATTAAAACTTTGAAATTTTGTATATTCATAAAATTTATATTTAATATTATATACATAATTAATTATAAAATTAAATTCTTTATTAGCAATGATTATAAGTTATTGTAATCTATCTTTATTATTATTATTATTCACATTACATTTATTAAGTATATATTTTAAATATTTAAAAAAAATGTACACCATTTTTTTTTAATTTTGAATTATTCCAGTTTATCCACATTTATGAAATTATTTTGAATGAAAATCAGTATTTTTTTTTTAATAAAATTTAATAAAAATTGCCAAAGAATTAAAGTAAAAAAAAAAAACAAAAAAAGACCAAATCGACTTGTCACACAACACAATAAATGGAATAAAAAGATTTTGTGAAACCATTATAGCATCAAAATTGCAATAATATTATGGTCTAAAACAACAAATGCAACTCATAAGCTGAATTACGTACAAATACCACGTTATATTAGTGCAATTTTGAAGTTAGGGAAACTTTAACTAAATGTCAAAATGTAGGATAATATTATTATTATTACTTTTGCAATGAATTAAAAATAATATGAGCAATTTATAATAAATTATAAAAATTATATGAATCGCATTATTCAGAAAAATCTGATATTAAAAATTAAGTACAAATACTTCTACCACTACCCAGCAATTCAGCTTAATATATTTATCAATCGCTCAATTATGTCCAGTAATATGATATTAATACATTTTTGGAGTGTCAAGGAAATAAGCAAAGTAATTTATAGCTCATATTAAAAAATAAAATGAAAAAAAAAACATCATTGAAATAATGAAATTGTAATTAATTAATGGGCTTATACAAAAATGCAAATCTAACGTCAAACTGTAAACATTAAATTGCCGAATAAATCAGATTGACGTTAGATCTGTATTTCGGTAATGCAATATTTAATTATCTAAAGTATATTGAGTTATTTAAAAAAAAAAATAAAATTTAGTGCAATTTTTGAGTTTAATTCTCAATTCAATTAAAAGTAGGAAAATATCAATAATTTCTTCTTCATTTTAATTGGTTTTCAATAATTTTTAAAATAACTATTATTTAGTTGTTATTGTTTTTGTTCTTTGTTTTATTTTTTGTTTCCTATATATATATATATATATATATATATGTATATATACATGTATTATTAGATTTAAGTACATATATTTAAATGCCTGTTATGATTTAAGAAATAAAATTCTTGAACAAAAAATTTAATTGGTGCTTATAATTAAATAAAATAATTGTTTTGCATACAAAATTAAGAAAATCTATATGTTTATGTGAAATAAATATAAAAATTATAAAAAAAAAAGAAAATCGCAAAACCATAAATAATAAACTAGTTATAGAGTT